CTGCATTCCAGCATCAAAGGGTGGTATATTTCTCTTTTTCCTTTTCAAATGGAAGTTTCCTGTTTAGGAGAAAAGGTAGTTTAAAAAAATGGTAAAAATTTCCCTTATGCTTCTTTCTGGTTTTTGACTACGTGATATTTTTAGCCAGTTTTGGAGAATGACCTTCACCCAGCAAGGTTAATGAGGATGCAGCTTTCTTTAGCAGTTTGCAGTGGGGAAATGCAATACAGTTTCGAATCCTTGCGTCTATCCAGCGTTTTGATTCACAGCACCCACATCACTACTGAAAGTCTGCAGGAGAACGCCGACTATCAACTGAAGGGGATGACCTCTCATAAGGAAAAAAACTCCGCTTTCAAGCCTTCTGAAGCAATTACACTGATAAAATTTTTGCTTTAAAGATGTCTTCATTTTGAAATAATCACAAAGTTACAGAAAAAAAAATTTCACTCTAAATGATGAGATTACTTGGTGACTGGTGTCCACTTACCCCCAAAGACCTCACTAAGCACATGTGCATATATTTACAGACAAGAACATTTTCTTAGCCATTGCGTTCACATCAAAATCAGGAAATTGACTTTGATATATCGGTAGGGTCTAAAGCCTCGGATTCATTCGGTTGGGCTAATAATGGATTTGATAGGACAATGACCCAGGGGAAGGCAGCGTGGAATGTTTATTGTCATGGTTTTTTAGTGTCCTCTTGTTTGGGACAGCCTATCAGTCTTTCTCGATACTCACAACCTTCCTGGTTCTGGAGATCACACTTCAGTTATTACATGGTATGTCTTCAGTTGGGTTTGCGTCTGTGTCCTCAGGATGGCATCAAGGCTATTGTTTCCTGAGCTGGTACCATCCTGTACCCTTCCTCTGTTCTGCTCTGACAGCGTTCACTTGACGTAGTGGTATATTCTACTTAAGAAATGTCTCGGAAGCTAGGTATCCTTTCCCTCATCAAATTCTCTGGTGTTCTGGTTGGTGGACCTGTATCTCTTTTGACTGTTGGTTTTCTGTCTTATTGTGTAATGATCTCTTCCTTTCGTTCTCATTGTACGTACCCAACAGATCCACTCCCAGGAAGATAGCCAGTCTTCCAGGTTAGCTGCTACATCTTCTCTAAGATGTTTTCCCCAAGTGGCTTGAAATCTGATTTCCCAGCCTGGACTTCTCTCTCCTCTCTCTCTCTCTCTCTCTCTCTCTCTCTCTCTCTCTCTCTCTCTC